ATTAGTATTAGTATTAGTATTAGTATTAGTATTATTAGTATTATTAGTATTATTAGTATTATTAGTATTATTAGTATTATTATTATTATTTATAAGGCAGAATAGAACAATTTTGAAGCTGGTATAATTTGATGAATTGGGATACTAGGTTGCAGAACCTGGGGCCCACAGTTGAAATCCTTACTCTGCCTCCCAGGAGTAGGGCCCAGGCCAAGATCACTTGGACTGCATATGGCTGATGGGGTTATGTACCTTGCCACCTATGTGGTCTTGAACAACCTGCACAGACCCCAAACACCTGTAAATCACTCCTGAGTAATCTGAATAATCTTGCTTGCAAAGGGCTGTGCTGCTGAATAAGAGAATCAAAGATATGTTCAGTGGTCGTGTGAGCTGGGGAATTCAAGGAGTTATAATCCTGAAAGTAATTTTCCTAGCTCTGACTGGAAGCTTTGAGTTGTAGTCCAAAAAGTAATGTTTCGATTCTTTCTTAGGAAATAAAGGATGGGAAGGTGGGAGGGAGGGAAGGAAGGAAGGAATTGAGAACATGTTCCACAATGAAAAGACAGCTGGAAAGCAATTGACGTCAGAATTCCTTTTACTTGTATATGCCAGTACAAATCAAATGGTTTAATGAGAATATGTTCCACAATTAAAGGACAGCTGGAAAGCAATTGACGTCAAAATTCCTTTTACTTGTACAGTATATGCCAGTACAAATCAAATGGTTTAAATCCCAACACAAAATTGGCACCAGCTAAGAAATCAAGGCTTGCATCAGCCATGAAACATGGCTCACAATGAAGAATACAAACCTTGACTTCTTAACCAGCAGTAATTCACCACTGCAATTTACACCATTTGATTAATGATGGCCTTCCCAGTAATAGTGGTTGGTGAGTTAATCACTCACAAACCAATGTTGGTTGTTATTCCAACCCCAGAAAAGAATTACAGGATAGACCAAAGCCTGCACAGATGGACAAAAGTGCTTCCATCTTTATTTCTCCTCAGACCTAGATGTGATTTTCCTTCCCTAGTTCAAATATTTATAGGGTCTCTTTCTGCTCTATGTTCATCTTGAGAAAGCACATTGCCACCAGAAGCGGCATATTTCAAATGTATTAAACATCCCCAAATATATTTTTCAGGACATAAAACAGATTCTTTTGTTGGACTGATGGGCAAAAGAGCTTTAAGTTCTGGTATGTATAAACTACACCTAAGACTAAAAGACTAAACAATCTCTTTCAATTACTATTTCATTTTTACTCTGAAAAGTACTTTGATAACATATCAATCTTATTATATAAAGCAGTGGTGTGGAATTGTGGCCCTCCAGACGTCGCTGGATTGCAATTCCTATGAGTACCAGAAATTATAATAATGGGAATTGCAGTAAAATAAAATCTGGAGGGCCAGATGTCCCCAGTCATAATATAACGATAACCGTTACAATCAGGCATCATTACATGTCCTGTAAAAGTGGTTTGAACGGTGACACCACAGCTTCTGGAGAGAGAGAGAGATCTTCATTCGTACTTAGATACAAAAACCCTCAGAGTCAAAGAAGTTACTGGCTCACTGCTCCCCAAACTCCAGTCGGCGTAGCCAGGCTGGCTGGAGCATTCTGGGAATTGTAGTGCACAAAGGTAACTTCTTTCAAAGTCTAACAAATCCCAGAACACCCAGTAGAATGCGGATTGGTCACCTCTCACCCAGACACCTTGGATTCTGCTTCTCGATGTTTTCCTCCACAAGCACAATTACTTTTTTTCCCCACATACACCTTTGTAGTTTTTTCTCTGTCTTCAGAAAGGAAATATACCTAGACTGCAGGAATGGGCACCTCCCTGATAGCCACACCCACTTTTGTGACCTCACCTCTTCTATTTCCCCCTCAAAAGTTGGCTTCTTTTAATTGAAAAATCCCTCTTGCAACCTTTAGTGCCCCCCTGAAATGTTTTTAAATTGAGGGTGGGGTACTGGGGAGGCACTCAGAACATGGCAAAATAACCCAGCACTCCCCAGATGGCAGAAGGGGGGGCTTTTGAGCCAATATTTGTTTCCTCCCACCAAATTGTTTTAGAAATGTTGGGGTGCAGTGGGGGATGTGAAGTGACCACATCGGGGGCCCAAATTCAAAATGTGATACGTGCTACTTAGTATGTGATACGTGCTACTTAGATCTGTGTTGAGTTAATAGAAAAACAGACATTGATTTGCATGTGTTTCAAAATACACTTGAATGATTTCTAAAGGAATTTTCTTTGCTTAACTGGTTTGGAGTGTCAAATTACCTAATGCCACTTACAGTTATTTAAGCATGCACTGTTAACAATTTGTTGAAATTATAATGGTCAGTTGCTTTATATTCCACCCAGCAGTATTCAAAGTAGCAATATTATGTCTATATCCTATTTAGTTTTATAAATTGCTGTGAAATATGGGTAGCTGAGCAAAGGATTTTATCTCCAGGAGGAAGAACCATTAAAGCTCATAGACTTGTAAATACCAATTGACAAGATTCAAGCTTAAATGGAAATTCAGCTCCTATTGTGACTTCTGTTGAAAATACAAAAAAGCACCAACAAGCATAGTTTTAAAATAGTATTCTTGTTTCACAATAGCTGTAATGGATAGACTAATTTCCAGTTACTTCTCTAAAGTGACTGTGAACAACAGATGTACATCACCACACACAGAAACTGAGTATTTCAGCCCGAAATGCTAAGTTTCCATTCCCGTTGTTTCTGTATTCATTGCTGTTCCATCTGAGAAGAGTAAAATTCACAGAGCTGGGTGGTCCGGGAAAGAAACTAAATAAAGAATAGTTAAAGATCTGATTGTAGAAAAGGCAGTAGAATTGTTTGCCACAATAAAAAAAGAAGTTCTACTTTTACTTATTACTATCTGTACATAGATCTACTATTTATTCATTGTTTAGCTTGATTTTCAGAGTCCATCAGACTCTGAGTTTTCATCCACATCAAGTGCAAAGTGAAGGCAAATTAGGATTGTGAGGCAAACAATACAGACTGCATTCCTTTTTTTAAAGAAACACTGCCCATGCTTCAGTTCAATCCAACAGTGAAGCTGAAGTACTGTCAACTCTGCTTTGTAATGTACCACGTAGTTACTTCAGAGCAGAATTTTCAAACTCAATGGGACTATTTTAAGTTACATGAGCTGGATTGAGCCAAGCCTCAAAAATCTCTGTCCATGGTTAAAGGACTCGTGTGAGTCTCCTATTGGACAGCATGCAATCTTACTTTATAAGAAACATTAGCAAAATAATTAAAAAACCAGGGCCCTCTCTTAAATGGATAGTCTCCTCAAATAGCTGTATAGATTCACTTCCCACCAAGCATTGGAAGACTGAGGGAAGAATGATTCTCTTCAGGCATCAATGTTCTACATAATTTCTAATGCTTGAACAGGGCTATTGTCTAGGAAGGGTAGAAGAAAGCAAACATTGTAGGTCCCATAGCATCGTTTTGTCTAGTGAACTTAACATTATCTTCCTCTTTAAAATAAGTAGCCCAAAAGTCACAACCGAGTTAGAACCAGGCATGGAAAGACTATTAATTAAACACCTTATTGTTGTTGATATACGTAGGCTGTCTGACACAGTCAGATTCCTAGATCAGGAGCTTTCAAGCTCCACGAGATTCCTCATCTCCAGTGCAAGACAATGAGAGCTGCCCTATCCCATTCAGAGTTTTTCCTACTAAAGTAGCACCTCCATATCCATGGGATCAGTATCCACTGATTCTTGTATCCACAGTCTGAATATATAAAAATATTAAAAGAAAAATCCTGGAAATATATATTTCTAAATATGAAGTTACCAGAACTGGCCAGTAGAGGGAGCCATAGACCACACTATGTACAGTGGTGCCTTGCTAGACGATTACCTCACAAAATGGTTAATTCGCAAGACAATGGGTTTTTGCGATCACTATAGCGCTTCACAAAATGTTTTTCCCTATGGGCAATTTTTGCTAGACAATGTTTCAGTCCGTGCTTCGCAAGACGGTTTTTCACAAGAAGACAATTTTGACAGCTGGGTCCGCGCTTCGCAAAACGGTTTTCCTATGGGCAATTTTCACAAGACGACAATTTTTGCCCCATTGGAAAGCATTAAATAGATTTCAATGCATTCCAATGGGGAACCGCATTTCGCAAAACAATGTTTTCGCAAGACAGCGATTTTCCCGGAATGAATTAACATTGTCTTGTGAGGCACCATTGTATAGTGTTTGCTATTAAAATATGTAATAATCACTATAATCTGCATTTTTCAGCAACCGCAAGGAGGGGAAACTTGAACCGATCCCCAGCAGATATGGGGGTGCTAGTGTGTACCAAATGCCTCTGCAGCACTCTATAAAAATATCTTCCCTTTCCCTTTAAGATGCAAAACACACAAGCAGATTACAAGTATTCTGAACTAAGGCTCCGTGAGTTTTTATTCATGCCAACAGCTATCTGGTCTGTCATAATTCTTCTGTTTTCAGAGAATGCAGGGTGGGGGAGGGGAGGCATTCTGTTTATTTAAAATGCATTTGTTCCTTGTGTCATTCCTACATCCCAAGAAGACAACATTTCTTTTTCACCAAAAATAAGGGTGCCTAATGTTTTTGTTAGACTAGTAAAACTTTACAAACTAACTTTCCAGTCCTGCAGGGCCTTTCCTCAGCTTGGGCATTGTAGAGAGGCTGGGAGGGGAAAGAAACAGAAAATAAGTACCGTAACTGTGTGAATAATCTGAAAGAGAGTTATGAACATCAATTGTACAGAGTAAAATTGTCCATGGTTCTCTGCAATTCCAAAATGACAGACGTCTGGTGTCAAAATGTGGCAGCCGTCTCTTCAGACAGTACTAAAAAGCATTTTATCCACTTTTAGTGTTGCCAAGTCTGGGAACCTTCCATTGACCTCTTCCACGAATGGCAGAATCTGTTTAAGACACTGAAACCCGCTGAGCAAATTAGTCAGAATATTCCCACTGCCTGCTTCTCACAGCAACTTATGTCAGTTAATGAGGCCACTCCATACCTGAGGTGTACCTCATATGCCAAGCTCTAGACCAGTGGTTCTCAACCTTGGGTAACCCTGATGTTCTTGGACTTCAATTCCCAGAAGTCTTCATCTCCAGTTGGTCAATGGAGATGGGTCAGTTAGCTGATCACACAAACCAATGAAGGGGCAGCATGTTTTATAGAAACCTTTCCTTCCACATTAGCTTATTTGTCTTATACTTTGCCATACCTAATTCCACTAGACTAGAACTTCCATAAACTCGTCCAGTCTCATCCTTATTTCTTGAGACACACAGGCTTCTCTACAAAAGTTATCTTTCCAAATTGTATCTCCAAGACTCCCCCAAGCAGCTTGGCCACGGGCCATAATCTTTTCCCTGGAAGGCTAAGAACTGTATTGGCTGGGGAATATGGGATCTTTCAAATATTTGATTTCCCTCTCCTCCAGTGTTTTAATCTGCATGACCAACCACCTCCTGAGCCAGAGTATTCACTGAAAACTTCTCACCGCTGGGAAGTTTCTCCTAATGTTTATGATGTCTGCATGCCAACTAATGTTTGATTCTAGTTCTGCCCTTGGAAGTGACAGAGAACATCTCTGCTCCATCATCTGCACAATAAGACTTCAGATATTTGATACACCATCATTTTCCAGGTTAAACATACCTGACTTTTAACTACTTGTCCTAGAAGTTTCTTTCCAGAACTCTCACCATCCAAGCTGCCGTCATCTGGATGCTCTCCATTAATGTCCTTCTTAAAGTATATTTTCAGAGTTTTCCAAGAGGAGCCTGACTGATATATGATGTGTTTGAATATTTATGGCATTAAGCCTGATAGTGAGAGCCAGGGTGGTGCAATGCATAGAGTAATGGACTAGAAGATCTGAGTTCAAATCTCTGCTTGGCCATTGAAACTCACTGGTGGGTAGCAATGGTAAATCCTCCTGTATATTTCGGATTCCTCAAAAACTCTTTTAGAGCTAGAAGCAACTTGATAGCATATAAGCACAAACACCTGATGTTTCTAGACTTATTTATCCTGTTATACTCAGATGTTGATTGCATTCAATCAACATGTCCCATGTTTTGTTTTTCTTTTGTTTGCAGGATCTTCTGAGTGGAACACAGCACAAATGTATGAAAGAAGACGTAAATAAGTTCTTGCCATTTATTTGTTGTAATTTGTTTGTGGCCAAGTTAGTTAATGTAATATAAAATAGCCATTGTAAGGAATAACTATTTATTTATGACTGGGTTATTTTGATTTTAAATTGAATAAAAGAGATGGTTTGTTTTCCTTGTGGCAGCCGTACATGCAGTGTACAGGACTCCGTGTGAATGACAGAAATCAGTAGTATTTCACAACAAAGCACATTATTTGATATGTCTTGTGAAAAAGACCTTCACCAAATGTAAAAAAAGTGGTAAAGATATCTAACAATTTTTTTGGTTAATTTATAGCAATTGTATTGGCTTCACTACCAAAGCCAAATTGATCTGGTGTTTAGTGCCTCAGAATTGTGTTCATGGCAAAAAGGAAAAGGTACTGTTATTTCTGTAGCCAAAATATATTTGTATAATTACCGCATGCTTTGTTTTGTTTTTGTGCCTTCGTAAATATTTTAGAAAAGGAAGATTAATTGTGAATCTAGGAATCTTCATTTCATTGTCTGACATTTTACAACAGCTAACAGTTTAAATAAAAGTAAAACACTACTTTGTTTTGTTTTGTTTTTGCAACACTCTGTGAACATATGTAATCACTTAAAACCGAAAAGACATACACAAATTCACCTGCTCTATGCATGAACATGCACACACATGCGCCCTGAAAGTATGACTATAAGCACTATTGGTGATAGGTTTGGTATTATAGAGCAACTTCCTATCTATCTACTCAGAAGTACGCTCTGCTAAATTCAATGGCCTTTACTCCCAGGTAAGTCCTCATAAGACAATAAAATTAAGCAGAAGCATAAGGCATCCTTTCTTCTACTGTATAGTCTCAAACCCATGGAAAAAGTGACTAAGGGTAGGATGTTATACACATTTACATGGGAGCAAATGCCATTGAATTTGGTGGAGCATTCTTCCACGTATAGGGCATCACATTTCCCCATTTTTAACTTTTAAAATTGCAGGCTTTGATTTATCAGAAAGTTCACCATTCTCTCATTTTTAAGTAGTGAGAAATGACCCCAGCTTTTGAGTGAGTCACATTTTGCACATGCTTGCATGCAGGAGCAGCTTTTGGACCAGAAAAGGGGGCACCTCACCCTGGCGTTCGGGGAAGTGCCCTTCACCACAGCCTGAACTTACTCTCACGTGCAAGAATGCTTAACTCGGCTTTCAGATGTAGGAAACAAAACTCAGCTAATGTGATATGTGGCCTGGAAATAGGCTGAGGTAATTCCACACACACACACACACACACACTCACCCCAATACTGGGAAACAGTTTGGCTTATATTCAATTCTTCCCCCTCAGGAAGCTTCAAACTCTGAGGCTAATACTCTGCTGTCAGCTGAACCCATGTTTATGGCAGAATAGATTACACAGTTTAAATGATTAGAAGAGGAGGACTTTTGCGAGAGAAAATATGTCAGTGAATCCTAACACAAGCTTACCTCGTTCTGCATGTTTCAAATTAGCTTGGGAGGCAGGGCAGGGCTGGTGATTGGACATTGAGAGGTAAACATGATCTTTATTTGCAAGTCCAATTGTTCAGGCATAGAACTTTAAAGGAACAGCTTGCCTGGAAGGAAAAGATATTACACATTTCCCTTGACATGTCATTTGATCATTAATAATTACTTCATCCAAGTAAGATTGTCAGGTCTCCTGAAATCCTGAGAGAAGGACAAAACCTGAGAGCTCACAGGTAACAGTGGGGCTGGGGGTGGGGGTGGAGTGCTCGCAACTGAAGTCTATTCACATTTATTTATTTTGTATATTTCGAGCTTCTCCTGGTGAGGGGACCAAAGGCGACTCACAATATTAAAACAATACTAAAAATGCAATAAAATACAGATTAAAAAGCAATTAAACTGTAATAATGATTAAAGCAAGAAAGCAAAGGCCAGCATCCAGGGAGTCAGTCATAGTTATTAAACGCCTGCCTGAACAAGTGTCAGCAAAAGAATAAAAGAGAGAAGGCTAAGTAACTTCTGGAAGGAGAGCATTCCACAGCCAGGGAGCAGCCACAGAAGAAGGTCTTCTCTTGTGTGCCTATTAAATGTGCCTGTGATGACAATGGGACTGAGAGAAGGGCACCCTCTGCAAATATTAAGGGCCGAGAAGGCTCATATGGGAAGATATGGTCTTTCAGAGAACCTGGACCCAAACCGTACAGGTGATAACCAGCACTTTGAATTGGGCCTGTAAACAGACTGATAGCCAGTGCAGTTGTTCTAGCAAGGTAGTAGTAGGCATCCTTCAGTCTCGAAAGACTATGGTAGCGTGCTCTGTATGGAGGACTTGGAACAGCGTCTAGTGTGGCTGAGGAGGCCAATTCGAGAGTTACAATCTCTTCCACACTGAAGACAAATCCAATCTGTCCCCTGTCCAGCTCCCTGGTTTTGCTTCCTTTGTGACTTCCTCTTTGCCTCGGCCTGCTGGACAAGGGTCTCTTCAAATTGGGAGAGGCCGTGATGTACTGCCTGCCTCCAGGCTGAACGATCAGATGTCAGAGTTTCCCATCTGTTGAGGTCTATTCCTAAGGCCTTCAGATCCCGCTTGCAGGAACAGCTTGCTTGGAAGGAAAAGATTTTACACATTTCCCTTGACATGCCATTTGATCATTAATAATTACTTCATCCAAGTAAGATTGTCAGGTCTCCTGAAATCCTGAGAGAAGGACAAAACCTGAGAGCTCACAGGTAACAGTGGGGCTGGGGGTGGGGGTGGAGTGCTCGCAACTGAAGTCTATTCACATTTATTTATTTTGTATATTTCGAGCTTCTCCTGGTGAGGGGACCAAAGGCGACTCACAATATTAAAACAATACTAAAA